GCTGTGAGGCAAAACGGTTTTAGGTTAGTGTACTAGCCAACATTTGAATTCACTAAAATATACTGTATACATTTAAATCTTTATTTATATATTATAAATATGTATTTAGAAATTTAAATGTGTAAATGCCCTATCAGGAAAAATATATTTTCTTTATCATGCAATTATAAAATTAACTAACATGGCTAGTAGTATTAATTTAATTAATATCCACTATAATTCATGTATTAGATTGTTCAATTCCTAAGTTTGTGGATACTATTATTGCATTTTGGGCCTGTATGGTTATATTATAAGATAACTAACTCAAACAACAAATAACTAACTTTATGAACTGAAATTGGTTGACAATGCTATTTTCACAGAATCCAATATGTTGTATTACATTTTCATTGGTTATGAATTTTCTTGTGATTCAAAAATCGCATTAGCATGTATGATCTATGTAAAATATACTTTTTCGACCACTTTCTTGAAGGAATTTAAGAAACTTGTCAGGAAAGTGCGAATAGCGACAACTGTTATCAATTTTAACTGAATTCACGCCCAAAATACCTCTTCCCTTATAAAATATCAGTGTGTTTATTTGGAAAAGTCGTTTAGTGAACAAAAACATAGTTTTCTGCAGATTTTATTTCTATTGTTGCTGAAATTTCTTTTGAACAATATATAAACTAATGATACACTCTTAAACAATCAATACAAGTAACGAAAATGTAAACTTTTACAACCACTGCAGTGCTTCAATGCCTTTAATCGGAAAATTAGTAAATTTTTCTTCCCTAGCAACAGAAAATTTCGTATTATAGTCCAGGCGCTAAACGGGTTGAGTATGCACTGAAAGTCTGACAAAATTTGACTTTTGATTATTGTTGGGGACATCTAGTAGATGAAAAAAATCGATGATGTCGCATTTCTAGGGTGGTCACAACTCGGGGGGGAGGGGGGGAAGTTGCGTGGGTCATCGGTTTACGTTTCCGCGTCTAACTCACAAACGGTTAATGATAGAAAGGTGAATTAAACGTCTATCTACGCCTAAAGATATTGTCTTTTAAAAAGGTTATTACAACCTTTCTTCTATCTCTTATACTTTAGGCGCTAATCAACATTTATTGCAAAAAATAAAATTTAAAAATACTTTAAAATGAAATATCGGAAATATTGCGCTTGTTTAGGGCATGTTACAAACTATTTATGGTTAGAAAAACTAACAAGTAGTACAACAACACCAAGTTTAAAGAAATCCGTGCAAAAACAACAGAGCTACGTTGATTTCAGTAAGAGTAAACGTGGGAAATTCGTAGTAGTATCGAGGCGCGCATGGGTGGTACACGTAGCCCACAGTCAATACTGTATAGGTTTGATGTTGTAAGTAACTATGGGAAAGCTGAATTTTTCTATGCTGTTAGACCATGTTGAGATTATTATTTTCCCGAAAGTCAACACTCCTCCCCCCTTGTGCTTTCCTCTAACCCCCCTTTTTAGATAAATTTAAAGCCTCTCAGCAATTAAGCTATAACTTTAAAACGGGTAAGGATAATAATGCAATATTTTATTAATCATTTTGCGTTACGATAATCTACAAAAAGAATTATTAGATGAATAAATATTAAAAAAGAATTATTATAGATTTCTGAAGAAGAAGAAGAAGAAAATGTGTTCATTGTAATAAAATATCAATAAAGTGTTTTTTTATTTAAATGCAAGGAACAATGGTCAAAGACCGTCTGTTTTGTATTAGACACACTGATTTTAAAATATTTTAAAACAGTTTAAAAAAATTCCATGAATCACATACAATTATTCATAAAATAAACTGATTTCCACTACAGAACATACACAAATAGCACTACATACTAATAGATCAGATATCAATTGAATGAATAATAAAATTTAAATGTAGCCTACTGAGAATCTGAATTTTTCCTACAAACAGTTAATAATTCATAAAACAAACCTGTTACTTTTATAATTTACTTTGATAGATACTTAACAAACAATATTTTATAAACTTTTTAAATTACATAGATTTTTCCAATTTTTGTATTGATATCTCAATTCTTAAATTTAATAATTATACTCCATTATCAATTCCCACATTTTACTCCACGCCTCTTTAAGATAATTTCCAAGTGCCCGCCAATCTTTGCTATTTAAAAATTCAAAAAAACTCATATTCATTTAAATATAACTTGTTAGACCAAAATTGACGTATCTTTTTTTAAATTGGACACTCTGCTATAAAAGGGTACACGTTTCATTCCGGTTGAGATTACATATTGAACATACATAAATTTTATTTTCCATATAGAGTTAACTTTTTATTAGACGACCCCTTTTATTTGTAAAAAATGTTTTTAGGGATGGTTACGAATAAAAAATATATATCCACCATTTTCCAATATGGCCAACAACTTTGTTATTTCTTATGGAATACGCTGTATTTTAGTATTCTTTTAGAATTTAAAAGCTATTTTTTTATTCGTGACATTTTTTCTCTAAACCTACCCCATTTAGGAGTTACAGCGTGTTATATCTAAAAGAAAGGCTTGTGGTGTACATTCGGCATCGTGTAGCTCATAAACGAGTAAGTTGAGAGAGAAAGTGCAAAGAATAAATAAGTCACATATAAGTCCTCGTTCAAAAAAATATATAAAATACGTTAAAAAAATACTGATTTTGTTGTTTTAAAAATGGCCACCATTTTCAAAAATGTTAGACTTACTTTGATGTGCTAGCTTACTTTGATATTGGAACAATTTATTTTATGGTTTTTGTTAATGTAGATGTGATTTGAAAACTTGTTTATTCTTTGTATTTCCGCTCATAAACTTACTCGTTTATGAGCTACAGGATACAGGATGTACTCACAAACCATTTCTTTTTCGACGTAACTCCTAAACAAGTAGCTTTAGAAAAAAATGTCAAGATCTCATAATAAAAAAAGTTATCTATTGGTTCACTTTAGGTGAGACACCCTGTATAATAAAATGAGGCTCTGGCGTACAGCAGCAAATGCACGATATTCATTCATATGTATCCACTACAGTCTGTATATGTACTGAATGAGCTACATAACGTTAATATAATCTATATAAAGCGGCAAATTCAAATACAAAAACCATAATATACGTAATTTTTTTCATTGTTGCGGTGCACAAAAAGCCAGAGTCCTGTAAAATCAATATACTGTACCCATCTATAACATCTATGTATACTGTATCTATAACCACTATATGCAAACAAACTGTTAATAACTATGTATCATTTTAAAATGTAAACTATGCACCCCAAATTTTGTATCAAACATTTTGTTGTGCGACCTCGTATAAAAAATCTACAAAGAAAAGTTTCATAAATTAATCCGTAAAAAATATTTTTTTATGTTTATGATATTTTTTAACTATGAATATTTAGGATACCATCCCATGGTAAATACACTTTTTGTAGAATATAGTAACGCAAAATGATTAATAAAATATTGCGTTATTATCCTTACCCGTTTTTAAGTTATAGCTTAATTTCTAAGAGACTGTAAATTTATCTAAAGGGGGGGGGGTAGAGGAAAGCACAAAGGGGTAGGAGTGGGGACTTTTGGGAAAATGCTCATCTCAACATGGTCTAACAGCATAGAAAAATTCAGCTTTCCCATAGTTACTTACAACATCAAACCTATATTGACTGTGGGCTACGTGTACCATCCATGCGCGCCTCGATACTACTACGAATTTCCCACGTTTACTCTTACTGAAATCAACGTAGCTCTGTTGTTTTTGCACGGATTTCTTTAAACTTGGTGTTGTTGTACTACTTGTTAGTTTTTCTAACCATAAATAGTTTGTAACATGCCCTAAACAAGCGCAATATTTCCGATATTTCATTTTAAAGTATTTTTAAATTTTATTTTTTGCAATAAATGTTGATTAGCGCCTAAAGTATAAGAGATAGAAGAAAGGTTGTAATAACCTTTTTAAAAGACAATATCTTTAGGCGTAGATAGACGCTTAATTCACCTTTCTATCATTAACCGTTTGTGAGTTAGACGCGGAAACGTAAACCGATGACCCACGCAACTTCCCCCCCTCCCCCCCGAGTTGTGACCACCCTAGAAATGCGACATCATCGATTTTTTTCATCTACTAGATGTCCCCAACAATAATCAAAAGTCAAATTTTGTCAGACTTTCAGTGCATACTCAACCCGTTTAGCGCCTGGACTATTAGATTATCGTCCACGATTATCGCAAATAAGGCAACTCTGGTAGTCTTTTACGAATGCGATTTAGTTGAAACGAGTAAAAATAAAACAAAAAGCAATTTTTGGTCCAATAGAATGTTTTAATTTATCGTTTCCATTCAAAACTAACTTGTGATTGTGTATCTACAGACTTTTCCCTATTTTTTTATACGATTCAAGTAAAATTCTTATTTTTCCCAGTGACTTGGTTTTGTTACAAAATGTATGGTACATAAAATATTTTTTAATTTGCAATTACTAATTATCCTTTCAGCTTCATTTGATATAAATAATTAATTTAAAAAAAATTCACTTAGTGGATCAATTTAACTACACATTTTATTTTGAAATATAACATATAAATGTATGTGTTTGAAAGCCTAGGTTTATCAGTAATCAAAATTATACCCATACAAATTAACTTGTGCTATGAAGACTATTTCAGGTACATTGATTGCATAACCATACCAAGAACAATAACATTATTGTGATGACGTAGGTACGTCATGTGATACGGGGAACTAATCGATCGTAGCAGAACAATAGGATGGTTCCCGCATGCTGGCTCGTTTAGCAATATCCAAGGTCAAATAGTAATTATTACCATTACCATTATAGGCTAAGCTATTTATAATTGCATGCACTGTTGAATGCTTAAAGTATCATTATTGCAAATATATTGATGTTCACTGTTTCCTGGTTTAATATTAGTCGTTCAATTTTTTTATGTCAACTTTGCTTGGGGTACAGCGTTATTACTAATTTGGAGCAAGTTTGAATTTGGAGATATATTCTAGGTTAGTAACTATTTTTGACTATACTTAAGTATAACAGATTAGAAAAAGCTGACAAGTTACTTGGAATCTTTCTTTATTAATCAAATACCACTCACTCACTCATAATCACTAAATGTCAAAAACTACAAACAGAAAGAACACAGGAATCGGAATAAGGATCTAATGAGCAATATTAAAAGTTTTTCACGAAATCCCATAAAAGATCTATCTACACGTTCTTATACCCAAGTGAACAAAGGATGTTTTGCGTTTGAACTCATGAGAATCTTTAAATTGACACTACCATTTAAGGTACATACCTTTAAACTTCTTTTTACTGTAGATTACAGAAACTTCGTTGATATGTAAATAGGAACATTGCGCTTCGTAAAAATATTATTCATATTATATCAATTCAATTCATATTATTCAATTAAATGGTCCTACCTAAACAAACAGCTGATTTCATTCAGTAAAGCTACACAGGTCATCTCACTCTGTTCTTCAATTACTCAACTGTTTTACTTTAAAATACATCATATGCAAATGTTCTACTGATTGCAAAATATTAAGTAAGTCGTATATACAGTATAAATGATTAGGCCTAATCACACTTCTAAATATATCGTCAAATGTTGTTATTGATGAGTTTGTTCGTAAGTAATCTTGTGCGATTTGCTTGTTCAATATTTACAGTAAATGTTTTGATGAGTCAGCCAGCCAATATGGCTTCGATTTAGTACGTTACTCGGTTTACACACAACTAGTTTGAAAGAATTAAATTCATTCAATTCTACTTGCCGTATGCATCTTTACACTTAAGGCAATGTTAGTAAATCAGTGTCAAACTAGTACCATTAGGAAAGTTGATAGCTTTTTTATATTAAACCATTATACGTGTATTATTCTTAGCGAACTAGGTTTTGATCAAAACATATCCTACTAATATTATAAATGAGAAAGTTTGGATGTATGGATGTATGGATGTATGTTTGTGACAAGTGAACGCGAAAAATACTGGTCGGATTGGGCTGAAATTTGGCATGATGATAGCTCACATTCCCGATTAACATATAGGCATATTCTTATTTCAAAAATCCTTTCGGGCTCCGCCCCAGTGGCTCTGGAGTTTCCCATGTTAACCTTATGAGAAATGGAATTATTGAATCTTAACAGCTGTTTCAATTAAACAAGTTGGTTCTGTTCTATGATGTTCAATAGCATTAAAGTTAGAAGGATTACCAAAAGGGTGCAGCACTATTATTTCTTTTACGTTTATGACAACAGCTAATTTGCAACCAAAAGGTGAGTGAGCGTAGCGAACGAACTGCAACCTGGAGGCGAGTTAGCGTAGCGAACGAGCTAATCTGAAGGCAAGTGAGCGCAGCGAACGAGCTCCAACCTAAAGGTGAGTGAGCGTAGCGAACGAGCTCAAACCTAAAGGTGAGTGAGCGTAGCGAACAAACTTCAACCAGGACGTGATTGAGCCATGCGAACGAGATAATCTTGAAAATTAAGAAGTTAAACGGGGCAAAGCCCGCGGGTTACAGCTAGTATTATATAAATAAGAGTTTACTTGTTTAGGGATATATTTTGATAATACTTAAATATTTATTTAACTAAGCTACTAAAATTTCACTACAAACCCTATATTACCCTCCATGTAGCAGCAAACCTATGTACTCGTTAAACCTAAAGATTGGTCGCTGTTGGTGAGTTGCGGCCCAAACCTCATTTTGCGTATGAGTTGCGGCCCAGACTGAAAAATGTTTTGTACGAGTTGCGGCCCAAGTATTAACAGGTTTATTGCGGCCAAGGATATGGTTGGTTTAATGGTACATAAACTAATCGTACAAAATTTAAGAAATCAGTTTGTGTTGGCAAACATTTAAAATTACAGTAACTGTTTTCACAAAATTAACCCGTGTAATGTCCTCAGTTATCTTCTTAGTCTTTTTTGAAGTTGTGGGATTCATGCACTTGATGCACACTTCTGTTTGAAACCCAAGAATGTTTAAGGAACTATTTTAAGTGATAAACCAAAAAGGCAAATGGAAATTTGCAAAATTAATCAAGCAAAATCCTTATGTCATTTGCATTATTGTATCTAACAAAAAACCTCCCAACGCTTTAGATTTATAACAATAGAAAAATGAAAACACTCGATGCTACAACAAAACTCTAAAATAACAGAAAACTTAACAATCTCAATTACTCAGCAACAAACCACGCTACATTAATTCCACCTTGAATGAGACTATTGAACACGAGCTCTTTCACAACACTTCGCACAATCTAACCTCATTCTCTAGTATTGATTAAATAAGTCGTTAGTATTATCAGTAGACGTGACCTGCGTTGTTCAGAAGTCGCAGCTGCTCATGCGTTATAACATTGTTTAATCATTGGTCAAAGTGTGCTCAGTGATACACTCGCTCCGGTCGTCAGTCTGCCACAATGCTCCGAGCTATCGGGATGGTTATTCTGTTCCTATTGTTGACAACAATGACAACAGCTGTTACTGCGCAGTCTACCGACAAGTGTAATAGTATTGGGATGCCTGTGAGTAATATGTTTATTGTATACTATGTTATTTATTATGTTATTTAAAATGATAAAGGGGTTTTTATAGACATTAGAGTAGAATAATTTAACAGCATATACTTTTTTTGAGCAATATGTATTTCGAATACGAATTATGCGTTTGCTTACATAATTGATTGCGAATTCGGCCTCGGTAGAATATTTTGTACTTTAATTTGGTCATTCCTAATTTTATTACCGTAGTTTTATTACGCATTTCTTTTCGCTTTTTAAAATTGTATTGCTCTTTTTTAATGTAATAATTTGCGAGAAACAAATATCGTTGTCACAACACTAGTGTCTAGTAAATTATATTGATAGGAATTTGAGATATTTTTTTAATTAATTTTACTAAGGTGCCGTACACATTTAAAATAATAAATTAATCAAGTCCTAACCATCTTTTATGAGAAATGTTTTATGTTAGTGGCGAATTCGTGTAAGGCAATTTCATGATGAATTCTTACTGGTAGTATGACATGTTTGTTATAAACATAATGGTAAAAAAATAATTGTTAAAATATATATTCATTTCGCATCCTATTAGAAGACACAGCAAATAAAATAGCTTAAATAGACCTAGGTAGATCCTTCCCTAAATTGTATTAATTAAATATTATTAATAATAACTAGACAGCATATATCACCTACTTTAGAGAGAGAGCGAGAAATTATATATTGATAACAACACATTTTTTTCAGCAATACATATAACAATAAAATTTGTACTTGGGTCCCAGCGACCTGAGCACGATAGAACAAAAAACAGCAATGACAGAAAAAAATTTATATCCCGTTTAGTATAGTATCATGTTTAGGTGTCTGTATTAGATTTGTTAGATATTCGTTGGTAACACATCCTAAGGGAAAATATATTTCGAAAAAATGTATTTTACTGAGCCTATATTTTATTACGTTAATAGGTAATTATAGTTCAAACATTTAACAATCGTTTAAATGTAGTATCGAGATAAATGTTATCGGGTGTTAAACTGTCCCTTATAACTTGTTTCATATTTTTTATAATGATAGACACACTATTATGCCTAGTACTATTATACTATTATTACTAGTACTATTTTCATAGTTGGGAAAGTTAGTCAAAAGTTCTAACTAGTTACAAGTTATTTGTTAGTCCCGTAAAATGTAACTACTAGATTTAATAAGTTAGTAAGTCAAAAAAGTAATTGTTGAATTTATAATTCAGTTAAAAAACAAACAAAAAAATAAAATTATTTTTCGGATAAATTTGAAGTTGTTTTAAAGGATGAAATGAAATAGTGATCATACCTATTGTTTTACCATTTAAACATTTTAATAATGACTTAGTGTAATTTTTTTGCATTAAAATTGTTATAAAATATGACTAGTATTATTTATTGTCAGATTTAGTCTATTTAGCAACACTTCCGAAGTATTTTCTATAAAAAATAATATACAATAAACTTTTCTGTTTAAATACTTTTAAAAATAATGTATTATTTCCGGAATTTTCATTGGTAACCTTTTAAATGTCATTTACTCAGCCAATATATTTTATTTATCATTGTTTAGTTGAATATTTATATATTTTTCACATGTTGCAGTGTATAGAAACAGCTCCATGTTGTCCAGGACTAAGATGTCTGTTTTACGCCAACAAATGCGTTTCTTCCGACCCGATCAGTGTTGCCAACGCAGAAACTTCAAATAACCCTTCTGCGACACAATAATATATTACATGCTCTTGTATCTAACTGATTTGTTTTATAGCTTTATATTTATATTTTAAAAACTAAATTGGTTCTATATTTCTATATACTAATTTTATCCCAGACTATTCTCACTTTTTCTTACCATTAGTAAGTGTCTAATTCCAACTTTTTGTGATATTAAGTAATACATGCTATCAAAAGACATACACATTAATACCAGTGTTACACTAATGTTATTAAAGTTATTTTAAAAGAATGTTGAGATTATTAAAGTAATTAAAAGGTTTTGGTAATTCATTTATTAAATTGATGCGTTCGTTTTGTGAAATATTATTTTAGATATGTCATACACAAAGTTACAACCATTTTTTGTGCTTCATTATAAGTTACTCTTTTCCCACATTTAGGAACTGGTTTCATAGAATAGTATTTAAACATGTAAATACTAAATTTAAAACCTACAGAATTGGAACGACACAACCTGCACTACAGAAATTTAATAAACTGTCTTACCAATTATTTAAATTGAGGAGACATAGTAGAATAACACTTAATAATAGTACTTAGGTTAAGCTTTGGAAATCAAGTGTCATTTCCAACAAGAATGGGGAAAATGTTTACCAATAACTTGTTACCAGCTTGAAAACGAATGTTCTGTCGCTCCATACGACCCAAATAGTTCTTGCAGTCGCCGATAGGTAGCAGAGCCATGCAGTCAGCCAGCAAAAATAAGAAGTAACGATATAAGTTTACTCTATTTCCAAAAGTGTTATAGTCAGAGATGAAATTATATCATAAGAGCCCTTTTAGCGAATTTCCCATATAGGGAATAAGCTATTACCATAGTACTCATGGTAAGACCTCGACGCGGGACCGATTTTTTTTTCGTTTTGAGGTCCCTAGAGGCCAAAAACACCATCCGTTCAAATTCATATATATATATATTTATATATATATATATATGTGTGTGTCCGTTAGCACGATAACTCGAGCAAAAATGATCCGATTTTGATAAAATTTGGTACAAACGTGTAAACCTACGTTTATTCGAACGAGTTCGCGATCCAGCATGATCGGACCATGGGAACGGGGGTTTACGGGGGGTTTTATGGGGTAAAAATAGGTTTTTCCCATTTTTGACCCAAAAAACATAAAGTTTAGCAATTTCTTTCCAAACCATTTTGTAGAGTAAAAAAAAATAAATAATTTAGTATTTTAAAGCGTTATTATGCGCCTAATGGTTACGGAGAAAATTCCAAAAAATTGTAACTTTAAAATTCCCATGTTATTCTTATGGAGAATATGTAAACTGTTGTAGATTACTTGTTTATGAACATATTTTGATCAAATTTGGAAAATGTTTTTATTTCTTACTAACTATTAACATTTTACGAAAAAAATAGTTTTACCCTCCCTGATGCAGCAAACCTAAGTACTTGTTAAACTAATTCTATTTAAATCGGGAATAAATGTTATATTTTTAAGTAGACATTTCAGTGTGAATCAAATCAGTCAAATGGAAATTCGCTTAGTCTGCAGGGTTGCTGCGGTGGGGGTATTATATATTTACCGTCTTGTGAGTAACAGTATAAGCGTAAATATATGTTTTAAGTGTTATAAGACGTTTCTCTTATTTTATTATATTTATGTATATTTCATCCAATTTATTGCAGTTAGATGAATTAACATAAGCCTTGAAAGTAACCGTCGATTTCGACGGGTTTCACCTAGTATTTACTATTGTATGATATGTAACAATTACTTCAACTATGATAAAAATACAGCCATTTTATGAGCGAAACTCTCAAGCGACATGTTGAGTTTCGGCAAAATCTTAAAATCTGGTAAATACATTAATTTAAGTCATACCTAAATACACTATTGCATCTACATTATTGAGCTTTCAAATAATTTTTATATTAATAATACTCTTTCATTTTCAAGACTTTTAAGAAATATATACTTAGTCTATTCAAAAATTGTACATTTTAACCAACAATATACAACACCATAACTGTTGTACAACACCATATCAGTCGTTATCAGTCAGCTGACCAGGACGGACCTCTTATCAGAGATCGTCTGAGCCAGGCCTATACCTGCTCAGTCACGGACTTAATTCATAACCTCAATTCTTGTAACCTATAATTTTTTTATTTATATACTGTGGTTCATTAGTCTTCCCAGTTTATTATAGTTGTGACTATGGCGGAAAAGTGCGGTAAATGCAAAATAGACCTGTCAAGTGGCGAAATACCCGTAAAGTGTGTGGATTGTTCGAGTGTGTTTCACCCTGCGTGTACAAGATTCGGCACTACGCAGAACCTAACCAAAAACAAAATTAAATCCTGGAAGTGTGATCAGTGCGACCCGAGTGTTGTGCGACCGGAAGAAAGTGTAGCAGTATCAAACAAGGTATTCTTCGATGCTATTAACTCTCTAAAAACTGACATTAATACTAATACTGATACCAAAATATCTGATGTTATGGAGTGTATCAATTCACTCAAAGTGGACCTGCAAAAGTTTGAGGGTAGACTGACATCTCTAGAGGCTAATTTCACAGAGTTAGATCAGAGATGCTGCACGTCGGAGCAGGCCAGCGCAGAGATAAGCGACCAAGTGAACAAGATGCGTCAGCAGTTGCGCGAGGCTGAGCAACACTCTCGCTGTGCCAACATAGAGATTGTTGGACTGCCTCTTACCAAAGATGAAAATATTTACATAGTTCTACAGAAGATTGCCAGCGTCTTCGGGGTCGACTACCAAAGGGGTGATATTTCAATAGCACACCGTCTTCGCAAGTACTCGGAGAAGCTGTCACATCCACCGATTATTGTGCAGTTTGTCTCCCGCACCTTCAAAGAGTTGTGGCTCAGCGCTGCCAGACGCAGAAAGAGCTTCAAGGCATCTGATCTGGCACGTTCACTTCCATCCACGGACGTCTACATCAATGAGCAGTTGACACCCCACAACAAGCAGCTGCTGGGTACTGCGAGAAGACTGCAACGGGAGGGGAGGCTGCATTTCGCGGGATATTTTAACGGGAAGGTGCTAATCAAACCCACGGAGAAGGACTCAGCCATCCGCGTGATGGAAATCAAGGACTTGGACATATACAAAAAACCTACTACACACGAGGAAAACGTGTCATCCTAAAGTAGGTAAACTTCTTCACTATACAAGTCGTAAACATTATTTTTTTACTACTGTATCATTACTATAAGCTTTTCTTTCTTGTGATTAAAACTGATGGTTATTAACGTTTTTATTTAATTAGACTTTTGTGCTTTCATTTAGTATAACTAGATAAACTTTCGTTATATTTCTTCCCCTCAAAAGTCTAGTGTTATGTTTATCATTGTTTATTAAAAAAATACATGCAATATCTAATAATATATTTTTAAATGCAATTAATAATTGATGGTAACAAGTATTTTAAATTTTATTTCCATGATTGTTGTTAGTTCCCAGTTATAGGTATTTTATGATTCGTATCACATGTTCAGGGTAAAAGATATTTTAGTTTTTCATTACTGTTACAGTACAATTATTTGTTATTTAAGGTTAGCATAGCTTTGGACTCCAAAGCTCAATTTTAATATGTTCAATATCGTAACTGTACAACTCTGTTACAATTATTAATTGATTTTTTATTATATTTAGTTTTTTCCTACTTTAAATTCAGGGTCCTTGACTGGGTGGGAGGCTGTGCAGAGGTCATGTTGGGTGAAGTGGATGACGATATACTTTCATTTAATTCCTGTGTAGCATTAGACACAGAGACGGATTATTTTAATTTTTTTAATACGAAGCTTAATGATAGCACGTTAAAATTATTTCACATTAATATTCGTAGTATCCAGAAGAATTTTGACGAGTTGTTAGTCTTATTACATCCGTTTATTCATAATCTTGATTTCATTGTTCTTTCTGAATGTTGGTTGAGGGGTGGGGTGGGGGGAGAGGTTATAGAGGGCTTTGACCTTGTGACTACAGATAACTATCGCAATCAGAATGACGGTGTACTAGTTTATGTAAATAATCGTCTGGCTTTCACTTATGTACAGATTACTATTGGAGACGTTTTTGGTTTACGCTTGAACTTTACTTTACACAGTGAGCAATACATTCTCACTACACTGTACAGAACTCATGACAGCAACGTTGACTTATTTTTATCAGAACTCGAAGAATTCTTTAACTATTTGCCTTTGAATGTAAAGATGATTTTTGTGGGTGATATAAACATTGACTTGCTCAAAGGTAATCACATTTCTGACAGATATTTAAATTGTTTGATAGGCAATGGCTTAGTTCAGTGTATTGATAAACCCACACGTATCTCTTATAACTCTATGTCTTGTTTGGATCATATATTTGTCCGTATTGCAGATTTAAAATATATAAATACAACTATTTTTGAGACAGGTATCACCGATCACTATGGAACTGCACTGAATTTGACTGTAACCACGAACAATTCATCCAACTATCAGTCCGACAAGACAAGTCACACTTACATTGACCGCACACTACTTGCCGACAATCTTACTCACGCAGATTGGGGAACCGTTCTGAACTGTTTCGATACCAATGTTTGTTCTGAGCGTTTTAAAGAAATTATATCAGTGTCTAATGAAAGCTCAAGAAAATTATCAAATAACAATACAAGATTTAAAAAGATAAAACCTTGGATAACGCTGGATCTTGTTCAACAAATTCGTGAGAGGGACAAGCTTAGTAAAACTCTAAAAACACAACCTTTTAATGAAAACCTAAGGATTCACTTTATCATAGTTAGAAGCAATTTAAGTCGATCGTTAAAAAATGCAAAGAGAGATTATTACAGAAGCAAAATTAATCAGGGGAATAAAGATCCCAAAGTGCTTTGGGGTGTTATCAATGAGCTGTCTGGGAGAGTCAAATCTCCAGATGCGTTTCCTGTACAGAAGTTTTTACCTCAATCACATGTTTTTGACGATGAAACATTAAAGCAAATTGCTAGTGATTTCAATACTTTTTTCTCTCTTGTTGGTCAAAATCTGGCCAATAATATTGACTCTGGAGGAACCCCAATACTGAACGACGCCGACTACAGACATGACTCGCAGCTCACGCTACACACAGTCACTGAACATGACGTCACACGTTACGTTAACTCACTTAGGGGAGGGTCTGCACCTGGCTTTGACAATGAGCCGTATTAATAAAAAGAAGGATATGCTCAAAAGGAAAAGGTATGAAGCAAAAGCAT